GTCACCTGGGCTCGTCTCATATATAGACGTGTAAAAACAAAATTCTTCCGTCTTTTTACTTTGTGTGTTTTCATTTTAAACAGTTTCCCGTACATTCTAGCGTAACGTTTTGCTGGCACCTGCTTTGGTTATTTTCATTTGCGGCCTAAAAGTCTGTGTTCGGGTTTTAGAAATTTGTAATAAAGAATTGCATTTCCGTTTCACCAGAGGCAAAAATAAATATATATTATACTTAGTTCATTACGTTTAAATTTTGATGCTGAAGATTAACCGCAATCTTCTACGCTTTGGGATCTCATGATAGATCATTTTAATTTCCTACTGAGCAAGTGACCCAGAAAGCGTTTTTTTTAATCGGCGTAAAATATGAAGATAGAGAAAAAGTATAATACACGAATTAGGTGAATATTTATATTTTTATACTGACAACATAAAAAAGAACGTAAATAGCTAAATTCTTAACCCACGTATATAAACACGCACACACATCTATCTATCTATCTATCTATCTATCTATCTATATATATATATATATATATATATATATATATATGCGCGGTACTCAATGGAAAGTTTTCAATATCCGTGATAGAGCTAACATATTCAGTTGCATGAATAGTAGTTTGACAAACTACTTTCCATGGAACATTATATAAATACATACATATAATTAGTTATTCCCAAAAAAAATTCGATTGAAGATGGAACAGAGCTTGGTACTTTAATTCAATTTAATTCAAATAATTATATTGACGTTTTCAGCTCTTGTTTTGAAACATGAGAACTCTTATGTAGCGTTGAATCATATTTTTAAATAAAATAATATATATATATATATATATATATAATTATACAGTAGCATGGATAGTAGTGTTACAAACTACTTTCCATGGAACTGAATATATATATATATATATATATATATATATATATATATATATTAGCATATATACGTGTACCTACGTTTTGCTGTGCGACTATAGTTTTGTTCGGTGGTCTCCAGCTCGTCAGGTTCTATGTTGTGGGAAGTAAACAAATACCTCATGCGATTTTCACTGCTACGCAGCGAAAAAAATAAAGTTCCACAGAAGTGTGTTAAATGCGATGCTGGTGAGCTACATTTTAAAAAGTAATAGCGAAATGTGAGGGGAGTAAAAAATGTATAAGGGGAAAAATTTATTACAAATTTAAAATTCAAAATTAGAGACGTTGCATTCGCCTAGTCAAATCTGTACAATACAAACTGTCTACCAACTCCAGCAATAAACACATCTTCGACACATACAAAACCATAACACAACGTTAAAGTTAGCTACAGCTGCACCAAAAACCTCGAACAATATTTAGTCCTGCATAACAATGTTATACTTAATACATATTTAAACAACACTAGTAGCAATGGTAGCTCCGATAAGCACTCATGCAATTGTCGAAAACGTGATCACTGCCCGATGAACAGCAAATGCATGTGTAAAGTAATTATATATAAGTCTAGCATTACGCACAATGACCAGACGAAATTTCATATCTGATCCACTGCTGTCAATTGGAAAAAATCATTTTTACTATCACAAGGTGACAACAACAACAAAAAATAAGCAAACGCCAAAGCACTCTATAAGTTCTACTAAAGTATTAAAACAAATGACTACACATCTAGTGTAAAATGTGGAATTCATAGCACAAGCCAAATCTTTTTTCCGGTAAGAGAGGAGGACGATGCAGTATATGTTTATTAAACGCAAAAAAATTAACACGCCAGGCATACTTAATAAATGGACGGAGCTAATTCTAGCATGTAGGCATAAAAAAAACCGTATATCTTAAAATATTGGAAACCTGACTAATTCCAATCTACCCACAGTCTTATCTTATTAGGATATAGCTAGCATACCCCATCCCAATCTGTTCACAACACTGTAGTAAATCTACAACAACGCCATTAGCATTCGCTCCCCGCCCCCCACAATAGCAATCCACGTTTCTAGAAGTTTTTTTTTTTTATTTTACTTACAATAATTTTTACTTCAACCCGTAACGGAATGGGAATGCAACGCCTCTAATTTTAAATTTGTAATCAATATTTTTCCGCTTATAATTTTTTACTCCCCTCACATTTCGCTATTTTTTAAAAAATTAACTCACCAACATCGTATTTAACGCACTTCTGTGCAACTTTATTTTTGCGCTACATAGCAGTGAAACTCCCATGAACCATTTGTATACTTCCAAAAACATAGATCCTGTGCCCGACGAGCTGAGAACTACCTAGCGAAACTATAGTCGCACACCAAATCGTAGGTACACACATATGTACTAATTAATATGTACCTTTGCTCTTTATAAACCCATCGAGCACTATCACGTTTACACCTCATATATAAATTTCACGATTATTTGTACTATATCGGTGCCACTGAGGGTCTATTCAAGAAGAGTAAAAACAACCACAACCTTTCATTCACCCACAGAAGATACTCGAACAGAACTACACTGTCCACATACTTACGGCAGCTAAAAGACAGAAATATCACACCAATAATAAGCTGAAAAATATTGAAAAAAGCACCTGCCTATCGCAACATTACAAAAAAATTTCCTACTTTGCCTACACGAAAAAGTAGCAATAATAGCCCATACCCCGCAAAAGGAATTTCCTAAACATAGTATCAGAGACAATTTCCAAATGTAGGAATGAGAATAAATACTTATTATCCGAATTTATACCAAACGGATAAAAAAATCAACAACAATCCCTATTTAGTTCAAGCTACCATCACAATAATTACATGTATTGATATTATCATTCCACCACCATTACTAATCACTTCTACCACTTTACAATGACTATTAGCAACTAATATTATCATTACTACCAATCACCTAATACCATTACTACCATATCACATCTACTATTACCAGATCAATCTCTAGCTACAGAAGGCAGGATGTGTATGTGTGTGTGTGTATGTGTGTGTGTGTAACGAATGCACAGCCAAAATTTTCGACGGATTTGCACCAAAATTTACATGCACATGCTACAAGTTAGCGGGGAAGGCCAAGACCGACTTTGCATTTCCCAACGCCCATCGATAGTGGAAATAATCGATTTTTCATGCTTCTACGGTAGTTTTCATGTAGTTTGCGGCCATTTTCTTCTAGCCAGAGTGAGAGCCTATAGCTGGCTGCCACGAATAGGCAGGAAGATTCTATTGGCCAGCGTGAGAGCCAACAGCTGACTGACACGAATGCTAACTAGCATGCTAGCATGCAAAAAAATTCGATAGCTGCATTCGTCACAAGTGGGAAAAATTTAAATCTACATGGCACTTTACTCCAATTGACACATTCGCTTTCTTAAACTCAACGTTGATTCTCATTCCGCAGAACTGGGTTGGGCGTGAAAAAGTATTTGTTGTTAACATTCTTTTTTCATTCGGTTTTTCTAGTTACGAGTCCTTTTTTAAGGCTGATCGCTTTGTGTTCATTTTGTTTCGTTCTTTTTTTCGTAACAGATTTAATGTTTAGTATAAAGCTTAGAAAAAATTCGCAGTGTGAGATAGGCAAGAAGTAAGGCATGTAGCAACATCAGCACGGAAAAGGGCACTCCTTTCAAGGCAAAGAAGGGCAAAAATATTTTAAGTCAAGTGATAGCGATTGCTGTATCAAGCACGGGCAACGCCGGGCCATGCTGCTAGTCCACTATAGTTATTAACGTAAATTACTCCCATCTCCCCCCCAGCATATTTAATACCACCCCATGCCCACCTGCAATATCTACCAGTTACATATACACAGTCAACAAAAAGAAGCAAAAAACCAGCTTTAAAATAATATCAAATCAGCCTTAAAAAATTAAAAATAATGGCAATTTTCACCTATCATAATTTTACACAGACCCCACCACACGTATATATGTGCGTGCGAGGAAATATTATTCAGCGAAAGAATAGAAAAATGGTCTGATTGTTGGCATGTATACATTCACGAGAAATATTCGCTACACATCCCCACCTTTGAATTTCAGCAACCAAATACGTATGTATTTAGACAACAGCACACACATAAATATATATGTCAAGTCCCATACTGTCCATATATGTTTAAGTTTGTATGAGCCCCGGCGGGCGAGTGCGTGTGTATGTGTGTCTGCGTACGTCAATGGGTGTACGGACATGCATTTATGTTTACGTTAACATGCTTGAAATGACGACGATTACCCGCCCCCACCCCACAACTTCCATAATAACACCAATACATTTATTTTCTAAGCATAGCTTAGATGTGGCACAAGGCACAAGTATGTGGCACCTAGTGAGGATCGAACTCACTTTTCAGTAGTAATTGAATAGCGAGACAAGCTTACTAACCATTACACCACGCACATGCAATTTACATAAATCCAAAATTAAAAAAAAAATTACTCAGTTTGTCTGACGATCGCAAAAGCGTGAAACCTAGTGTCACAAACTCACATCGATCCAACCAAATATATATATATATATATATATATATATATATATATATATATATATATATATGTTGTATTTTAACATGATACGATTAACATGTATTGTGATTTACCTCATTGTGTCTGCAAAGTTAATATGGAGCTGCAGCAAATGTTTCGGATTTCAAATAGTGATCTCGACGTGTAATGAATTTATTAGTGGCATATACACTGAGTAAATCATGAACATTCTTAAAGTGAAATTAATAAACTATAAACGCTTCCCTTTGTTGGTTGCTTATTTGTTTAGATTTTTTTTGTTCAGCTGGATATCAACCTCTATGGGTTTTTACAGGGAGACATATACGGGGTACATTATGTTTTAGAGATACACGTCTTACTCATTAACGCATAGCTGGTTTGAGAAGAGATGAATTCATATCCCTTGCACGTGAATGAATATAAAAAAAAACTCAACTGTATTAGAAATTTAGCTTTCCGATTAACAACCGAGCCATTATATCACTTACACATCTAAGCCAACAGAAGCCGCTGTTCCCAAGCGGTCACCCATCTAGATACGGACATGGCTCGCCGCTGCTTAACTTCAGTGATCGAACGGGAAGCGGTGTTTCAACATGATGATTTCTGTTAATTCAATGTTAAATAAATATAGAAGATAAGGAAGTTGAACACAAAATAAACTGAGCTTTTTGTTCAGTCCATTTTAAAATGGAAAAAAGTATAGCCTAAAAAATTTATTAACCACCTCAGATCTTGACTCTCAAAATAATATATATATATATATATATATATATATATATATATATATATATATATATTATATTATAAGAGATACTTTTTGCAAGCGATTTCTAAATATATTATTATAATATCTTTTAATAAATATATAATAATAATATATTGATCTACTTTATTTTGAGTACTTTTTTTAAAAGTAAATGCTATGAATATTGGAATTTCATTCCATCTTTTTTTCTCTCATTTGAATACATATATATATATATATATATATATATATATATATATATATGAGAAGAATAAGAAAACAACATTTCAATTGACTGAGACAATTCCAAAAGATAAAGGAATGAATTCGGTCTTTACATCTAAATAATTAAATATAAAAAGAACTGATTTTACTGATATCCAACCAGTACAAAGCCAGAGAACCACTCAAGGTAGAGATTTAATGAATGAGGTTGGTGCAAGTGCTTATGAAGAGTTAAAAAGTGCACTTCATGAGGATATGTAAAAGAGATAACATTCCACAGGAGACTTAAAATATTTAAGATTGTAATGTTCGTAATCGCAAAATCCCGACAATCTGTTCCATAAAATAGAGGTTCTTCCGATGATGCTCCTCGAGTGGAACATCCTTCATGCTAGTGGATTACATGAGGAATGGAGAGGATTCGGTCCAATATACGTTTCATAGCTAGTCTTAGCTGTTTAGGTTTGAATTTGTGTAACTAAGGAATATACCTCGTCAGAACATTTTCCAAGGATATAGTGATGAAACATTGAAAGACTTGCGATGTTTGACCTATGGCACAGCGATTGCAGTGTCAAAAATAATGTATCACTATAAACATTATTTCTATGGCAACATGTGTTCTGGTAGGTATCCACATATTTTTCGAAACATTGAATTTAAAATTATCAAATTAGAGATATAAAATTCAAAAGTTCTTAAGGAAACGTGTTCATTTCATAAAAAAACGGTAACTGAGCCTTGTTTTGTGGTAGATATATCCGTAGCCGAAACGGTAAAGCATCTCTGGTTCGAATGGAGAAAGGTCAGTGTCACTTACTCATACACAGAGCGTCTCAAATGTTGATTTATCGAGAGAATGGAACAATTTCTGGCATGAGTCTCGTTTACACGTAGAATGGTAAATAAATAAAATCGATACAAAATATGGTAAAAAGAGATTGATTTGTGAAGGAAATATAATATCGCTTATTGAAAAACAAGCAGAAAGTATTAAAATAAAGTTTAAAATAGTTTTACAGAGAGGAGTTTGCTTTGTTCATCGGAGTTTGAAAGACTAAATCTACGCCCCAGTGCACAAAACCGACAATCTGGTTTTTGAATGAACGTCTTCACCTGCTGAGGTACGACTCGTAATCATTTTAGCCACACGAACATGAAAATTCTCTCACAGACATTAAAATCGCAAACACATGCATTGCATTAGCTTCAGACAACACACAAAACATATGCCCCGCACATATACAGGAACATATAGGATCCAGCGCGTATAAATTGTAAAAGATACGCAGAGAAAATATACACGCAGGTGGTGTATATTAAGATAGATGATGTTTACAACCACACACACGCGCGTGCACATACACACACACACGAAATGTATTGGCAGGTATACGTCAGCAGACGAACACAATCACTTTATCCACTTTTTCTTTGGTCCCTCTTTCTCTCTCTTTTCTTCTCTTACGAACTGTCATATTTTGTCTCGTATGAATGTCTGAAAATTAGCCATATGTGTGTATGCAATATATTCCATAGATTCAGAACAATGTGGGGTGTGCGTGTAATGCAACGGGAAAATGAAAATCAGCGTGCTGAGTTCGAATTCCGACTGGGTTTACTACATTCATTTTTCTTAGGAAAATTATGAATTCATCCTTTCCTCTCCAACAGCTATCGGCTAAACAGCAGAGTAACTGGCTTCTCAAGGCATGCGTATCGACCGCTATAGGAAAAGGAATAATTTGGATTTAAAAGCAGTTTGCATACGAAACAGCCATTGAAAAAAATTATGTTTTTCACAATTAATAGCGATGCGGGAACCTGAACTTTATGATCTTGACTGAAGCCTAAAAAACTGTACGCTGACACACGGTCACAACAGCAGCAACCCTATATACCATCATGTACTATGACATGGATGAATAACAGGCAAATAATTTATTCGAAGCCCAAAGAAAATGATGAAGCAATTTTGGATAATGAACGCTAAATTTGATTTGGATATCACCCGCTTATTCAATAAGAATCGTGATATGGAGATAATCTTTATGGGTGGATTTTTTCAGCATCGACGTTTTTCTGAATTTTGATTTTGAGTGGATTTATTGAGTGGAGTCACCCAGGAAGAATATCACGTTCGAGAGAAGGTGAGAGTTAAAATTTGGTGCCCGTGGCGTACACAAATTAAAAAAAAAAAAAACTATCGAAAGAATTTTCTTGTCGTTAGTGCCATGTAACTCCAGCTTTAGTCTCAACCAGCTTTTCCGTTTAATATCGTTGAGATGATCGTCGGATATTTAGCAAGAGAGATATTCTCACGGTGGTCATTTATCGAGAGTAAGGTACAAGAGTTATCAAGAATTCGCGAAACTTTCTATGAATAGATATACAATATCCGGGAATGTTTTTCATATTGCCAATAAAACCTGATTTTTCAAGAATCATTATTCGCCATGAACAAATTCAACATTAAACTAATTCATGATGATTTTTTGTAGCTGTTCTCTACTTTGCGGCTTTGAAGCATTTACTGGTGACTCTCCCAGACAGAACCTAGCTTTCAGGGATAGGCTAGGTTTAATTCTTGTTACAGGAAGCTTCTTAAAAAGGGAAAATAAGGGAATCCCACCATTTTAACTCAGCCTTGCGCCACACTTCATTCGTGTCAGCCAAAGGTTGAATATTGTAGTTAATATTCACCTGTGGGTTATCAATAGTAAGCTAAGGCAATTTTAATTTGTCAAGAATCATTACAGGCCATTTTAAAAATTCCTGATGATCGATAAAAATTCACGATGAATGTAATTCTTTTGTTTATAGACTTGTTTTTCTTTTCATAGTTTACGCAGAAGAAAGTGAATTATGGATCAAGTGCTTAGTTGAAAAGAGAATCAAAAGCGACCAAAATTAGGGCATGTTTTCACCATTTCAATTTAAAAGGAATAAACTAGACAGAATATATTTTGCATTAAGTGTGACTCTAAATGTGTAACGTTAGTGTTATGAAATATTAATATTATGTAATGTTAATATTGTGCAATGTTAACATTAAATAATGTAATATTATATTATATGATGGTAATATTATGTAATGGTAATATTATATAATGACAATATTATGCAATGGTAATGTTATGTAATGTTAATATTATACATTGACAATATCATGCAATGGTAATATTATGCAATATTAATAATAAATAACGGTAATCTTATGTGATGTTTCTATTATGTAATGGTAAAATATAATAGCAATATTACGTAATGGTAATATTATGTAATGGTAATATAATATAATGGCAATATTATGTAATGGCAATATTATGCAATATTAATATTAAATAATGGTAATATTATGTGATGTCTATATTATCTAATGGTAATATTATATAATTGCAATATTATGCAATGGTAATTTTATTCAATGTGGATATTATATAATGGCAATATTATCTAATGGTAATATTATGCAATGTTAATATTAAGTAATGGTAACATTATGTGATGGTTATCTTATGTAATGCAATATTATATAATTGCAATATTATGTAATGGTAATTTTATGTAATGTTAATATAAGTTTTTTTTATTATAGAAAATTTGTTATAACTGATCCATACACCGAGTTATTTGAAGTGTTAAGTATTTATTAATTTTACATCCTGAATTTCTATAATGAATTTAGTGTGGTTGCCATCATCACGTTACCAGACCATAGTTTCTGATCTGGAAAGGTTTATTTACTTGGAACAATTGATAGAGGATTTCTTTTTCTGTTCATTATTATTCTTATCCTAAATACCGATGTTATCATCATAGCACGCCTTTATTATCAGAATCCTGTCCACGGGAAGGAAAGCAAGAACGTTGTTTTCTATTAGTAGATTTGTTTGCGATGTGGTATAGAAGGCTTTAATTATCAGGGAATACTTTATTAGAAGCTGTTAGAAAATGGACAGACTGTTATTAAGTAAATCTCCAACAATAAGTTGTTTGAATGACGCAATGGATGAATGAAATATCTTTTTTAGCTAAGGAATTAGGCTTGTAATTCTGATGCAAAGAAACACCTATGCTCACGTTGTAAATAAAATAATTGTTTTTGCAATCATGGGTTCTGGGATTTTTTAACTTTAATTCATAGCTTCTATAAAGAAAAGACTCGGATAAAGGTTTTAAGGTTTCGAATAATTACTGGAAGAAGTTATCGTATCTATACAACAATCGATATTTTATAATGGAATGAACAATTTTTAGCGGAAGTTTGTGTAAGCACATAAAAAATCAGGGATAAATGTGTAATAATTAAATAGTGATGGTATGGATTTGCATATTTTAAAAACATATTCAAAATAAGATGGAAATATTTGCATTAAATTGTTAAGATCGTTTTTATTTATTTTTTAGATTAGATGCAATAAATACAGTCAGCATGATTTCAAGATCAAGCCTCTATAACCGCGTTATACTTTCGCATATATTATCTATCGTGTCCTATCAGCGTGATTGCATTAAACATGTTATTTTGTGCATTTAAGGAAAATGGAATCAAAATGTACGTACTCAGAAACAGAAAGAGACAGTTGAATTTTCTCGGACACTTAATGAGGAAGGATGGCT